TTTTGCAGCCATGTAATTTACACTTTATTCTCATTGGTATCTCTCCAACACGAATTAATGTAGAGTCTCATGCAAGTGTAAATAATATTAGAGATGCACATGATGTCCTTATCCTATTGAAATGAAATCTAATCCAAGAAATTTTAACCATACCATTACAGTATGTCAAATTCTGTAACCATAGATTACTTCTCACTATTTTATAAATATGTGATGCTTTTTTATTTATTTTGTATGTATCATAAGACCAATTACATGGTAACAGTTTATCAATACAGTACGTTCATACTAATCTAAACTCGAATAAAAAAAGTGTATGTCCGACACTAATCTAGACTCAAATAAAAACGCTGCACGTGAACGCACGTGCATCCACTAGTGTTGTTTATAAATGTAGGGATATGAGTATGCAATAAAAATTTGAATAATTGCATTAAATCAACTAAACCACCTACTACCTAACCCTTCAAAAAAATAAATGCAAAACATATCCAGTACCCATCACCCAACAAAACTATCAACTCTCAATTCTTAGGAACTGGCCAAATGCCACTGATAAATGCAAAACATATCCAGTAACCATCACCCAAAAAAACTATCAACTCTCAATTCTTAGGAACTGGACAAATGCCACTGAAGAATGAACCAAATTAAGAGGTGGTTGGTGAGAATTAAAATTAGATTTTTAGTAGATTGTGATATAAATTTTTGAAATGTGTGGTTGAAAAGTCGTGGGACTCATGAAAGATGTGGTTAATATTGATTGTTTAACTTTGACTTGGATTAAAATCAAATGTTAATCCGGACCAAAGATGTGCTAAATGTTAACAAATGGATAAATCCAATTCTCTGGAAGTGAATGAATCAAACAACTAAATACTTGATCATTTAATTGTTGGAAGCATAAAAATTAAACGTCTCTATAAAAATTTAGAACTGAATAAGTTTTTCCTAAAATGTAGGATGAGAGGACATAGCTAAAAATAGTCAAAATTTCGGACACATGTACATATATATGTCTTTCGCACTTCATTTTTTTTCTAGAAATTCACATGTAAAAAGTTTAATAATAATTAAATGACAAATTGTTAAAAGATAGAACATGTCACTTGAAATCAACTAGAAATTTATACTAAAATTCTAAAAACCAAAAACTGCATAAATTTACATGACAAAATTAAAATAAAAGTTATAAAATGTCATAATTAATTACAATTGCCATACCCGCTTGAAAATTGAAGGATCCGCTCAATATTTCATACCCATGACTGTGTTGTGTCGTGTGGACACGGGTATGCCGATCGGAATGCCAAGTTCGAGCATCAAATGTGCAACTGAAATGGAAAACATTTTCAACCATGCGCTAATTGATTTCATTTTTCCTCTTTCCTCATATGCAAAAGAAATGTTTGCGGATGAATGACTACTTTTTAACAATCATTTTGCTTACAACATTGGTGGCGAGTTTGAAAATCTGCGTGCATGATTGAATTCAAATTTAAAATTGATTTTTTTAAAAAAAATGCACGTGCAAGGAAAATATAGAGTACTTTGAAAAAAATATAGTTAGTTGAATGACATATTTGAAATATTAAAATTATAAAGTAAGCAAACCTTTGCTATTTATAACGTTCACCGTAGTGTGTTAAAATTTCATAAAATCATTTCTTTTACCAAAACTACTGATGTCAGTTTACAATCAAATAAAACCAAAACTTCATAAGTACGTTCCTTTTGTTAAAATTACAGCTATCTGTAACCCAACCAACCAAAACAAAAGGAAAATTATTGTTACTGTTGTTGAGTGGAAAGACCATAAATATATTCTTAGTAGACGTAGACTTTGACTGGGAATCGAATAATATGGTGCCATCTTTCTTAAACATACAAGAATTGTAATTAATCTATTCACAATTTTTCTGGATTATAAACCCCGTAACTTCGAAAGTAATGTGGTACTATTCAACCTGCCTACCAAACATACTATCAAGCCATCTCAAACACAGACAATAACACATACACATGCAGACACTCACAAACACTCGCAGAAAGAGAGAGAGACCAGGGTGATATTTTTGTAAACATTAACATCAAAAGGGTGGCAATAGCTTAGCCCAGATTTCCTAGCCAACCAAGCGACTGGCTTTCCTACTATAAGGGATTCGATTATTAAAATATTAATTTTTACAGTATGAATATGTGAATGAATTCGATAAGATGCGAAAATACACTTCTTACCTCCATGGTTGTCATATTATGAGCAGTGAGTTAAATATGCCAGTAAAAGAAAGTTATAAGCGTCAGGCTTAAACTAGCAACTATTAATCCACAACCATCATAAAATGCATAGTTTGATCAGATTTTTTCAAACCCAATTGACAGTCTCATTTGAAGAAGAAACAAATGCGTGAAGAAGATTTTATCATGTGCTAGAAGATTTGAAGAATAGTAAGAAAACACACCATACAGTATGAGAAAATAGAGATTTGTTTTTAAATATTTTCATATGATGCATTATTTAAGGAACTGCTTCAAAAGTAATGCAAAATATAAAAATAATTTGTTTGCTTTGGACACGTATTTTTTACAATAAAAATGGATTCGATCCAATTATAGTCAAGTTGATCAAAATACAAAATCATTTCACAAGTTGCTAATAATAAAAGAGGATTGAAGTGGCATTGTAAAAAAAAAAAAAGCCTCTGCGCGCACGGAGACTTCATTTTTTTTTTTCTAGTTAAGATAAGATGCATGGAACCAATTTTCAAAATATAAAATCAAATTCCTTAAAATAGAAAGGCAAAATATACAACAAAACAGTGAAAATTGCCTCTTTTTTTTTTTTTTACATAGTAGCGAAAATTGGAGGATCGGATGAGTGAAATCTGAAAAAATGAATAGTAACATCTCATTGGATTACTGTTGCATCTACAATGACCCAAAATTGGTTTTTTTTATTATAGTAGGATGAAACGGAGAGAAGTAGATCACATGGCTTCCTTGCTGGTGGGGCCGGTGCAGCATCAGCAAAATCCACTACCCGACCATCAATATCATCATTGCGGTACTAATCATGCTCTTGACCAAGCTTCAACTCTACAACCACAACTACGACCCGCCCCCGCTGTGAAACTCTCTGCCACCATGGAAACTGACAAGGTACCATATCGCTATCGTTCTCTCTCTAGACTTCCTTTCCTTTTCTTTCTGCATTCTGTGTTTATTTATGAAACTTGGGCTGGATTTCTCATATTTTACCTTGATCTAGCTTAAAAGTTTCAGTTTTTGCTCGATCTAAGTTTGTTACTATTATTATTGTATATTCATTTTTGCCCTTTTTATTTTCTGGGTTCTTTTCTAAAGCACCGAGTAATATACTTTCGACCTATCTTTCCTTAAGTTTTGAATATTTGTATTTTGCCCCTTTCTTCTTTTTTCAGATTTCTTGTATTTTGTTGTTGGTTATAGTTACAGGGAAGCGTTATGCATTTATGAATATTTTTTGCAGCTACTGTGAGCTCTGTTTGTCTCTTATGTAAGTTTTGATATTCTTATCTGTTCTTTGAACTTGTTTACTTTTCTTAGGTAAAGTTTCAGCTGTTTTCCTTTAGTTAACTTTAGTTAAATTGTGCTTGAATATGTTGAATGGAGGGATTGCTTCATGCAGTCTCCTGACGGTTGATTCTCCTTATAATTGCAGTATTGTCTTTGTTTCTATTACAAGTTTTCTTCCATGTGATGCTTTCTTTAAAGCTATGTTTTGTGTCTAACATTTCCTTATTTTTCTAAGCATAGCATGTCTTTGATTCTTGTGCCTTTTGGGTTGCCCAAAATTTCAAATTTCTGAAGGCATGTTATTAATATTTGGTGGATTATTCACTGATTAATATGTTTTCCTTGAGTGAGGTTGAGTTGCCAGTTGTGTTATTATGAGTGGGATCATTTTGTTTTATCATTGATGCCGTGGCTTGAATTTATTGCAGGACATGCCGGATTCTCTAGTTGATAGTAATGGTCCAGTTAATGGTCATATTATTTCCACTACAATTGGAGGCAAAAATGGAGAGCCCAAAAGGGTTAGTGACTGAGCTTCATCATTTCAATTTTAGGAACTTTAGTTGCAAGGTTTGAAAATCTTAGTTAGTTCCTTAAAGATATTATTGAGATGAAAATCTTGAAAGTTGTTATATGGAGATTTAGTTCCTTTTTAATCCTGAGATTCGAGAATATGAATTATTGATTGCTTCTCTCTGCTGTCTGCTCTAAAGGGTTTGTTTGTGATGCTCTCTTGCAGACCATTAGTTACATGGCAGAACGTGTCGTGGGTACGGGTTCATTTGGAATAGTTTTCCAGGTGTGTATTCTGACCTACTGGTAATTTTTGTGATTCACAACAGATTTTAAAATTAATGATTTGCTGTCACTATATGCTAGGCAAAATGCTTGGAAACTGGAGAAGCTGTGGCCATAAAGAAAGTTTTGCAAGATAAGCGTTACAAAAATCGTGAGCTGCAGTTAATGCGTTTGATGGATCATCCAAATGTGATATCTTTGAAGCATTGTTTCTTTTCTACTACAACCAGAGATGAGCTTTTCCTTAATTTGGTCATGGATTATGTCCCTGAGACAATGTATAAGGTCTTAAAGCATTATAATGATTCGAATCAAAGTATGCCGCTCATCTACGTCAAACTCTACACGTATCAGGTTCTATTCTTTTCGGCTTTGTTTTTACTTTGTAACTTCTCTACGTTTGTATAATCTCTAACTCTTATAAAATTACACATCTTCATCAGTTATTTAGAGGGCTTGCTTATATGCACACAGTTCGGGGGGTATGTCATAGGGATATAAAACCTCAGAATATTTTGGTAAGCCGTTTCAATACCACCTTTATCTGGCACCACCCTGTCCCGTATGCCCTGCTGGATTGAGTTGCACCGTTTGGTAGGTTCTTGTAAATCACTACTTGTTTGTCTGCAGGTTGATCCTCTTACACACCAGGTCAAGATTTGTGACTTAGGCAGTGCTAAACTTCTGGTATGTTTATTGCATGTTACTCATTCTTTCTTTCTTATTTCCTTATAATTGCAGTCACAAACACAGATGAAGTTATCTGGTGGTGTTATTTAAGCTAATTGTTTGATGCTTTGTGCATATTCATTAATTCATGTATAATTATTTTAATCAGGTGAAGGGTGAAGCAAATATATCATACATTTGCTCGCGTTACTACCGGGCCCCGGAACTCATATTTGCTGCAACAGAATATACGATGTCAATTGATATTTGGTCAGCTGGTTGCGTTCTTGCTGAGCTTCTGTTAGGACAGGTTTGAGACATTCTCATACATTCATTAAATTTGCAGAATGGTATTCTTCAATTTCTTACACTCCATAATTTCTCTGCAGCCACTGTTTCCTGGAGAAAATACCGTTGACCAACTCGTAGAAATTATCAAGGTGCATCCTTCGAGTTGCTCTGCATTTTTACGGGTCAAGAAAACCAGTAATGAAACAATCATTTACTAATTTTAAGTCTTATTAAAATAGGTTCTTGGTACTCCGACTCGAGAAGAAATTCGGTGTATGAATCCAAATTATACTGATTTTAGGTTTCCTCAGATTAAAGCTCATCCTTGGCATAAGGTATGCCAGTTATTTTCCACCCACAAAATGTTATTTTTTCAGTCATCTATAAAATCCAATACAATTCCAGTTCAGAAGCATATAATAAGCTCTTTGGTCAGGTTTTTCACAAGCGTATGCCTCCTGAAGCAATTGATCTCGCTTCACGACTTCTTCAGTATTCACCAAGTCTTCGCTGCACGGCGGTGAGTTTGATTTACTCTTCTTTTACAAAATGGAACTTGCACGATTTGTCCCCAATCTATACCGTTACAACTTCGTCCCGAACCTTTTTCTTTGGCATCTCCTTCCTAGTGTTGTAGCTAATTAGTCCCCATTAGACAAAACCGTCCACTTTGCCGTTAACAAGGCAGGTGCAATGCATGCGAAAATTAGCTAAATACAAATATTTTTATAAAAATAAATAAAATGGAAATAGAAGAGAAAAATAGGATTATTAACAGTACCTTTTTTAGAGTATGTTAGAGCTTGTTTGGGAGAGATTTTTGGGGGAAGAATTGATTTTGAATAGTAATATGATGGAAAATGTGTGGTTGAAAAAGAAAAAAAAATTATTGATGTGATGGAAAATATTATTTTATTGAAGAATGTGNGATTGGTACTGTAGTTGATTGACCAAAAAAAAATAAAAAAGAAAATGGATAACGTATAGAAAAAGAGTTTTAAACTGAAACCTGCATGTCTTCCCCAGCCTTGAACGGTTCACAGCCCCCTTCTTTTTTCTGAAACTTTTTATTTTTTCCTGAATTATGTAGTTAATTTCTAATGAAGTTTGTGTTTGTAGACTCAATAGACCTTCAAAATTCTCTGGCCATTGCGACAACGAATGTTTTATTAGCAATGAGAACTCATTGATTTTTGCCAATAAAGAATATTTGGTCATTAATTTTATTGAAATTGCTGTTTTGTTCTCTGCAGCTAGAAGCATGTGCCCATCCCTTCTTTGATGAGCTCCGAGAGCCTAATGCCCGCCTACCAAATGGTCGCCCTTTCCCTCCACTTTTCAACTTTAAACAGGAAGTATGATTCTATCTTTCCTTAATGTTCCCTTTTGCTACTTCAAATATAATTTAAATGGTTGTGCCCCCCCTTCCCCCAATCTGTGCTTGAATGCTGGTCTCCCAGTCGATTTTCCATCTCTGTACAATATTGAAGTGATTTACTTACGTCAGAGTTTACACAAATGGGCAAGTTGGTCATCTCCAAAGTTTGTTTTAAAACCAAACCCAGAGTTTAATTGATGAGGCTATATATGGTCAAAATTGGCACAACAAATAAATGCTACTCATCATTTTCTCTATATCGGATATCATTTTCCTATACAAAATATTTATCATACTTGCTACTTTATGTTCACCTAGTATTAAGGGGCTTCAGATAATTAGGTCATATAGGGACGTCAGCATGATACAATGCCTTTTTTTATGAACTATAAACATCTTATATCACACGAGCTGTACAACCCATATATATATATACACACATCGAAAAGATGGACCCGCAGTAACTTGAACATGGTAATATTTCTGTTTCTGAGAGGGTAAACACAACATAAGGTTAGAGATTGTGTTGCCCGGTAAAACTTATTTTGCCATTTACGACTATGATATGAAATTTAAATCTATTCATACAATTTTAAATTTCTAACTGCTAGCAATTAGATAAGCACAGAAGTTTGGCCACAATTATCAAGTCACTCGTGTTCCCAATTTTTGGCAAGTATATCTAAATTTTATATCATGTTTACCATTTGCCCATGCGCTGCTCATTTATTTTCGTATCAACTTGTGCTGCTTCCTGGATGACGACTGCATTTGCAAATGCATTGTTATTTATTTGCAAATTAACTTGTGATGCATCCTGGAAAAACACTGAAACCGGTTCTAGCATGCATTGCTGTTATTTTAACACCAAATTCTCTTTGTTGCAGTTGGCTGGAACATCGCCTGAGTTGATAAACCGGTTGATACCCGAGCATGTACAACGGCAAGCTCGTCTGAACTTTCCCCATCCAGCAGGGACGTGATTATATCTGTGCAACATTGGTTGTTGATGGACTTTGTATCAGAAGGAAGGCCATCTAACTAATATTATGCAGTATTTTGACCAGGAGCACTGGTTTTTGATGCCTCGAAATGATATTTGCGCGGTGGCTACAGGGTGGAATCTGTCGACATTGTAGTCTTAGCTAAACAAATTTTAGCTGCTTTTGTAAATTGTTGTTGTCAAATGTAGGAGCTCAATTTATCATATTATTCGTGTCGAGTTAGGCTTCACTTGTGTTATTACTATGTTTGTGCTATTATGTTACATACTGAAAGCCAATTCAAAATTGAATTTTTTTTTTGGTTCCTTCTATTAACGGTAGAAATCCCACGTAGGTTTATGGAAATTACCGTCGCCACTAAACTTTTTAAAATGTTTTCTAATTGTCATTCAACTTTTAAAATGTTATTGAGTTGCCATTGAACTTTAAAAGTTATCTGAGTAGTTTCTGAACCTAGTTCCTTTTTGTGTCATTTGCATTTTTAAAAGTTGACAAATTTGATGAACTTGTTGAAATGTCATATCATTTGTTATTTCAACTGTCGTGTCATGAAGTTCATTAACTTGAGTGTTAAAAGTGATGGAAGAATGTATGAAACAATATTGCCATTTTAAAAGTTGACAAATTTGATGAACTCATTGAAATATCATCCCATTCGTCATTTCACCTATCGTGTCATTAAGTTTATTAACTTTTAAAACAAGTGACGAAGTGATGGATGAATGTAAGAAACTGTCTTGCAGTTTCTAAATTTTCGTTTCTTTTGCACAATTTTGTGCATGAATTTGGAAAGATTGTTTCGTGCTTTCACTGACACAGGCAACCGCATACGCATTGAAAACAAAAACATGATATTCTGAAAGATAAAAACCTCCGTTAAGTGATCAGACAATTGACCATAAAGGTGTCAATGAGCTCGAGCGTCTAGATAGACTGCTTTGTAAAAGCTCGATCCAAGCCAGGTCTTGGACTTACATTTATAAGGTGCCTAGCACGAGACATCAATGCACCTAACTGGGGCTGATGTCAGGTCCGATGACCCTATGAAAATAGGGCCATCCCCATCAAAAATTAAAAGATTTGTCCTTTTGTTGGAAAGAAATTTTACCTCTATTTGACGAGCATCATTTCAAAATTATTTCTTTTACATTCTCATTTTCAACCATATATTAATATAGTAAAATATTATATATGTAAACTCAAAATTTTTCCTTTTAACCACATATTTTCCAAAAAAATCACTATTCAAACTTCATTTTACCCAAATAATGATTGTTGTTTGTAAGGCACATGGGATACCACGGTTTGACCATATGGCGCATATATTATATAGGGCTGCAGGCCGGACCTTTAAGGGAAAAGTTTATGGTTTAGGGGTTTACTTTCATGAAATTAAAAATCAGGTCCCAAAATTTTAATTTACAAAACTCAGGTTTTTCTTGAATTAATTAATTACATTTCAAAATTATTATATTAAATTAAATATTTAACTGTAATATAATAAAATTACCCTACCCCACCTCCACCATCCCCATTACTCAACTACTATTCCGGTGACCGGCGACTACTCTGGTGACTGCTCCGATCAGGCGACTTTTTTGAGGTCACAGATCAAAAAATTTATAGGTCACGGGTTATTTCGAGGTCACAGATAAATTTTTTTGTAGATCGTAGATTATTTCGAGGTCACAGATCAAAAAAATTATCAATTTCAAAGTCACAGCTCAATAGTAAGGTCACAGACACCAAAAAGAACCACAATAGTTAGGTCACAGTTACCAAAACACCCTTCCCCCATCCACGTACATCGCCACACTTTGTCACAGGTCACAGATCGACCAAATAAATAGTCACAGACATTTCGACCCATTCGCCGTACCCGTCTCCCAATCACAGTACACCAACAATACTTGGTCACAGGTCACAGAACGACCAAATAGTTAACAATACCTGGTCACAGAATCACCAAATAATGGTCACACACTTCGTCTGATCCGTCGCCAACCCTAATCCCTAAACCACCTACCAACAATATCAACCTAAACCACCACCAGATCCACTACACACAGAGATCTGCCCCCACACCCATAGATGCATCGCTGAGCCACACACCCACCTACAACAGATCCACCGCCCAATTTCATCACACAGATCTGCCCCCACACCCATAGATGCAGCTCTCTTATTCATCCACGCTGTCGCCCCACACCCACAGATCCACCGTCCAATTTCCTCATCCACCCACCCAAAAGGCTGGCAGCAGAGTCGACGCTGCTGTCACAGCAGCGTTGCGATGCTGTCGCTGCTGTGGGCAGCGTCGCACAGCAGCGCGACGCTGCTGTGCGACACAGAAACGTGTCGCACAGCAGTGTCGACGCTGCTCACAGCAGTGTCGGTGTCGAGAGATGAATGTTGTGGAGACGGGAGGAGGAGGAGGAGGGAAGGATACGGGAGACGGGAGGAGGGAGGGAAACGAGAGACGGGAGGAGGAGGGAGGAGAGAGATTTTTGGCGTAGGGGTGGGGTTATGTGTAGGTATATAAATTAATTTAATTTAAAATATCATTATCAGTATAAATTGTGAAATTAAAACCTGATTTTTGATTAAAAAACATTTAAACCTGATTTTTAGAAAGTTAAAATTAAACACCCGATCTAGTTAAATTTTCCCGACCTTTAAAAAGGGCTAGCCTGACTAGACATCATCGATGGGCCGAGCCAGTTTGGCCCATTAACAACCCCCAATTGACATTTGAACACCCAAGCAAAACACATAAGAAACCCTAGCTTCCATTCCCCTCCACTTTATATTGGTTAGGGTTATTCACTTCATCATTTTCCCACTCGTCCGGCGGCCCTGAACCTCCTCACCACCACTGCACCGCCATGGTCTTTCTATCTCTGCTCTCATTCCCTTTCTATATTTGCTTTAGAGATACATATATGAAACTCAGCGCATCACTGATTGTCTCTCTGTGTTAATGTGAAACAGGCGTCAGAGAAGAAGCTGTCGAACCCAATGAGAGAGATTAAAGTACAGAAGCTCGTCCTCAACATCTCCGTCGGTGAGAGTGGAGATCGTCTTACCAGAGCCGCTAAGGTATAATTGCATCTCTGATACAATTTTTATTTTATCGAGTATTTTCGAATTTGAATTCCGTTTTATGTATTTATTTTTTATGTTTTCAGGTCTTAGAGCAACTCAGTGGCCAATCGCCTGTTTTCTCTAAGGGTAAATTTCTCAAAATCGGAATGTATTTGTAGGGGTTCTACTATTTATAGTACAAGGTCTGCAGGGTACTATTCTTGCTTACCATATTATGAAAGTCATACGGGAGTGTTTTATATTAGTAATTTATAAAATACTGCTTAAACGTGATGCCTTGATGATAGATTGTGACATTGTAACTTCTAAAATTCTCGTTCATGGTAGCTCTAAAAATGAAAACTGGCTTATAGCTTCCTCAGTTGCTTTGGATCTGGCTTAATTTAGAATTATTTAGCTCTCTTTTCTTGTAAATGGGTCTAATATTTTGAATATTTGATTTAAAATGATGCAATTTAAGTACTGCTCTGCTAGATGATAGACTATGATAATGTAACTTCATAAATATTCCGTAATGGTAGCTCTAAAATGAATTCTGACTATTAGTTTTCTCAGTTGTGTAGAGTCACTTTGGTCATCTCTCTTTCTAATGGGAGTTATACTTTGGTGAGATGGTAATTAGATACGATAGCTCTGTTTTATTTATTCTTTCAAAGCGCATATATGCAAAAAGATCTTCTCTGTAGTTATTTCATCATCTAAAGTTTGTTGATAATCTGAGGATAGCACAGTGGTTTATGCTTCTTCTATGTGTAATTTAATCTTTTAGAATCAAAATATATGCTGATGAAATGAACTTAGTTTTTCTTTCCCCTCCTGCATTTCCTCTTAGTGGAATTATTTCATTTGTTCCACAGCAAGATACACCGTGAGGTCCTTTGGGATCAGGCGTAACGAAAAGATCGCATGCTACGTCACAGTCAGGGGTGACAAAGCAATGCAGCTTCTTGAGAGTGGCTTGAAGGTCAAGGAATATGAGTTGTTGAGAAGGAATTTCAGCGATACTGGATGTTTTGGCTTTGGCATTCAGGAACACATTGATCTTGGAATCAAGTAAGTCAATTCTATGATATTGCTATTGTTCATGTTTTCAAGGTTGTTTTATGATGTATCTAAACTTTTCTTAAAATTTCAGATGGAGAGTTGGAAATAGTAATGTTTTTTACTTGCATCCTGTAAATTGTTTCTATTGCTGATTGTGAGAACCCAACCAATTTTTGCTTTATTTGGGAGTTGTATGTTTCTTTTAGAAGATATTTGTGTTACCTGATCTTTTGTTGGATTAAAATGTTACGGATGTTACTTGACCGTCATGCAAACCGTTAGGTGTTAAGTTTGGTGGCTTGTGAATACTTTACTGTGAGCACAAGGTCTTGTAACAGATTGAAATCTTGTTTCGGTGCATAAAAAGTATTCTTTCGTCCCGTTTCCGTTTCTGTCTCCTTCCCCCCCAACACCAACATGGTAAAACACATGAAATTTTTCACTTCCCCACGAGATGACTAATAGAAGTCGCTATAGGGTTGGATGTTTCTAGCACATGGGCCTTTAGGTCCCTTTCATTGTATTTTCTTTTACACCTGGTTTTTTTATTAGGTTAGTTTTATCAGGTTGGTTTCATGAGCTAGAGGTTAGGCATGACACCTATCCTAATTTGTACTTTTTAGCTTTAGTAAATACACGATCATCGTGGCAGTTTGATTATAAAAGGAAAGAAAGAAAGGGTATCGTGCATGAAGAAAATGTGGCTGATAACTTGTAACTGTTAGTTTCTCCTTGTTAAGATTGAGATTTAGCTTTATTTTAACGTTGAAATGCAGTAGTTTGATATTCGTATTTTCTAGGTCCAAGTAGTGAAATTTCATGTTATAATTTTGCTTATGTTGAAACAAGTTTCTTAAAGAGAGCATCAATAAACAAGTTATAATTATCCATGAATTTTCCAGGTATGACCCATCAACTGGAATTTATGGGATGGATTTCTACGTCGTTTTGGAGCGCCCAGGTTACCGTGTGGGCCGTCGTCGTAGATGCAAGTCTCGTGTTGGAATCCAGCACAGGGTCACAAAAGAGGATGCAATGAAGTGGTTCCAGGTTAAATATGAGGGAGTTATCCTCAATAAGTCGTCAAACATTACCAATTAGTTTGAATTCAGTACTAAACATGTTTGAGACCGTCATCTGTTACCTTGAGCTCAAATTTTTGGACAGTTGCATTAATGTGTGTTGCAAGAAAATTATCTTATTCCACTTTCTTACTTTTTTATTGAGTTAATATTTAACCTCTTTATGCGGTTAATTAATTTTTTGAGTTATCAATTTACAGCTTTTCTTCATATAACTCATCAAGATTCTAGAATATGCTCAGAAATATCCTTGCAAACATAAATTTTTGGGAGAGTTGCAACCAAGGTACCAAACCTTTTCTTTAGCAACAAATTTTTGCTCAAACCTTTCATTTGTGTCATTGTAGATACCAAACCTTTAAAATTCACAGCACAAGTCCAAAATGACGATTTCCATCAGTTTGACTCCAAAAACCGTCAATTGACCCCATAAATTAAAAATTTAAAAACTTTTTCCATATAAGATAAGGGTGATATGGATATATTAACTTTTTCCTATTAAATAAAAAAAAATTAAAAGCAAAACCTGTTCCCCGACCATCACCCCAAAACCAAAAATGCCCCCACCTAGGATGATCGTCGCCGCCATCGCTGACGTCACTGTTGGCACTACACTCGTGTATCTTCCCC